GGAGCATCCTATTCAAAAATAAAGTACCAAGAAATGAAAATTAAAATCGTGTAGATTACGCCCATACACCGCAACGCTCGAGTTTCAAACATGTCGTACTGAACGTTCTGTGTAAATTGAGGGCGCAATTGCAAACGACGGCGCTTAGGCGAAATTTGATTGGCTGAATCTATGGCAGCCATCTTGGATGGTACACACACACACAGTTCTGCGTTTTTCGAACATCAAATACATTGCGGTTAGCGCTCTAGTATTCTTATTATATCTCTATGTGTTTTCCAGATCTACGGAACATTATCCACATGGAGGTACAGAGGATAGGTGGTTCCTTTTAAAATCAATATTGAGCATTGATATTGACTCTTCTTAAATGATAATACAGTAATAATAGTAACTAACAATGTTCATAATTCCAAGCTTAACAAAACACAATAATTATATGAGTGGAGTTTTCAGATTAAGTTTATTCACTGCATGGTATAGGGGGGGGGGGGCTATCTGTTTGTTTTTGTGTATTTTTTCTCACGATGCGAAGTCAAACAGTTTCAATTATAAAAATGGACATTTCTGCTAAGCCCCGCCCCTTGGATATATTTGCTAAGGTCCCACAAAACGACAGTGTAAAAACATACGCAGACACGTACGTGCCTGGGTTCTCTTGCCCTAATTTTAGGTTACTCACTCTTTATTGCACTTAGGTTACTCACTCTTTATTGCACTTAGTGCGCACCATACCTAATTTAATTGGCGTCCCATACTAGATTTTTTTTTTTTTTTTCGAATTACAGGTATTCCGTCTCTAAATTAACTTTTTAGTTGATGGCGCTGTCCAGAATGAGAAAAATAATAAAAAATAAGTTTTTCAGTTGCTCCTTTAAGCCTACCTATTTTTGGAGGTCCACGAATCTTCGAAAGGTTTAGTCATTTTATTGATTTATTTATTGATTTCACCAGGGAACAAATTAACTGTTCCCTAATTTCACACTTGGTTAATGATAGGCCTACTTTTGCTGCTGCCGGGGAGGGGTGAACCTTTTGCCACCTCTTGGATCAACAACCACTGTAAACACCAGGTATGCAGCTAAAGTTGGTTTTGTAGGCGCGGCCTACCCTTTGACTAGAATGTGCGCCCCACCCCTTTAGTCTAATTCCCTACTGTATGTTCCAAGCCAAAAAAATTAGGTTCAAGTATGTTATCATTATATTTTGTGCAATAGTTCTCCCTCACGTCAAATTTCCCCTTATTCCACCTTCGCGACAGTATCAACTCCCCCTCCCCCATCCCATTTAAAGGTTTCATGTATGCCACTGCCCGTTGATATAATATACAATTCAAACGTCAATTGAGATAATACTTTACCTTCACATGACTTATCGTTGGCTGGATTTCCGGTGTAGCCCTCCTCGCAAACGCAGTCACTTTTGCTCTTGCTACCCTGGCTTTTTGTCACTGAATGAGGCGGACACACAGTGCAATCCTGATTACCGTACAGGTCTTTGTATGTTCCGAAAGGGCACTCTATGTTTTCATTTTACGAAAGGGGAAATGAAGTACAATATTTTATAAGCCTAGATAAATGATAATGATATTAGTAATAATAATAATAATAATGATATTAATAATAATAATAATAATAATAATAATAATAATAATAATAATAATAATATTAAATAAATAAATAATAATATGAATATGAATACGAATTATATTTAGGCCTATAACTAAAAATAAATCATTATTATTATAATAATGGTATATAGCGTTTTAAAAATTGAGTCAATAATGTAACATTATCTACGATTCAACGATAACATCAAACTGTTCAAGAACATTCACAATTAATCAAGGAGAAATACAGTAGAACCCCAATTAGGGGGACACCTTCGGGACCAAAAAAAAAGTGTCCCCTTAATAGGGGTGTCCCCTGAATAGGGGTACCCCTATTCATCAAACCAGCACTGCATGGGTTCTCTCCACAGGAGTATATGGGTACCTGGTGGGTTGCCTACTCCTGCGATGTTTATCAGCAGCAACACTTAAAACATGAGGACCCAATTACCAAGGAAAAGAACTGCGCTTTGTATGTACAAAGAAAAGGTGCTGTATAAATGATGTAAATAATAAAATAATATTAATAAAATTTTCCCAATATTATTTCATGATGCGATGTTAATGACCAAATATTTCTTTTATTTATTTAAAATATGAGCTTTCTACTGGATTAATGTAGCATGAATAGAGTAATTACATAGAATTAATAGAGCATGTTGTGGCATGTATTAGAATCCTATATAAAGTACACAGAAAAAAGGAAACGAAATCCCCATGGTTAAGGGTCGAAATTGACAAGACTGGTTTATGAAGTACCGGTAACACATTCAGTAGGCCTATACCAACGTTTACTCTAAGGATTCAGTGAAGAAAATTCTGGTTTATAGCTCAGAAGGTGTTAAAATATAAAGTTAAATGAATTTTTCTTACTTTGAGACTGCTGTAGTTGTTGTGTTACAGTGATAGCAAATTAAGTGTCCCCTTAATAGGGGTTATTTGACCATTTGGCACACTCAGAAAGTGTCCCCGTCCCCTTAATAGTGGTGTTCCCTTAATAGGGGTTGACTGTAGTGTTAACAGATAAATTGCCCCTCGTTTCACGGAAAAGTGTCCCTTTAATAGGGGTGTCCCAAAGGAGGGTTCTACTGCAACTTCCTTAATGCAGACTGTGGGAATATTCAGTAAATAATAATTGTTGGAATGCAATTCAACTTTCAAAAGTGTGCCATAGTGAAAGTGAATAGGGAAACGATGGTCACGAGTGAAAGAGTTTATTTAACCAATGAGGAAACAATCAGGCTTATTTATAGAGAAGAAGAGATAAATAGAGGTACCAGGGATTACTGTCAAAGTGTAGTATTTCCATGTACCGGAAAACACTGCAATGTGACAGAAATAAGAGTACGGAAATGAGGAACATACTTAAAACTTCGGAAGAATAAGGAAAATCCCCATGTTAAAGTTGAATTCCGAAAACTTGATACAAGCCAGCTGTTTACGAGTGGGTGGCCGGGGGGAGGGGGTGGTGAGGAGATGGCCCTCGTTGGAGAGAGCTGCACCCCGACCCCTCCCCCAATCAGGGAGAAACACATACCGGTAAATAGTTGGGAAAGAAAATACTATAAATATATTGTTTACATAATTATTATTATTATTAGACTCTTAAAATTAATTGAATAAGCTTTGAAAATTGTCATAGTTTTCAGGTGCCCGCCCCATGAACTGCACAAACAGATTTTTAACAACGCCCGACCACGCCCATATACGCTCTGGTCGGGGACATCGCCCCACCTCGTCGGGGTAAGTCGGACCCACCCCTGCATCCGTTCAAGAGCAGTTTTCTATTACTGTACTAGATCTTATGGCAGAGATAATTGATTGGAAAGATAAGTTAAGACATGGATAGTGAAAGAGATATACTGACAACATATAAAAGCGCTATGTCCACAAGTTGGCCTAGACATAATATTAGAGACTGAAGGGGATTGCCGAGTGTAGGGAAACTGTTGAAAATGAAGGAACAAATTAGTATTGGAGAGGATGGAGAATGTGATTTTTCCTAGTGAGAGCTTAAACTTTTTATTATTGAATTATAATGCATGCAAAATGTTAAATCAGGCATTGTTAGTAAGTTATAATTTAACTAATAAAAGAAAAACATTTATCTTACTTGTACATTGACCATTTAATCCGGAGCCCGAGTACCCTTCAGCACATGCGCACTCGATGCTACCGCTATTTGTAGCACAGGAACAGAGTGCTTGAGCATCGCAGCAGCTCGTCTTAGTCCCACCAATATCGTCACATAATGCATTGCAAACAGAATTATCAATATTGTGGTCCCAAGCCGACGAATCCTTAACATCTTTAAAAAAAAAAAAAAAAAACTATATGATGAAGCAATATCAATCTAATACATTTAATTTCATAATTACTTCTTGTAGGCTGTCATGCAACTTAAATAGGCCTATACGATGGATTGTTTTTGATAGGTCTCTGGGTTTGTTTTTTCATACACCTGCATCATACATTCACAGTACAGTATACACATCAAAGACACTTGTACAGGTCTCCCTGCAATTAGAGACCACTTATGGGAACGGGGCAGTGGCGATGCTATGGGGTATACACATCTTCCCTTTAAGGGGGGGGGGGGGGGGGGTAGGGAGGTACAGCCTCCCCCTCCCCGTCGGCGAAGTCCCTTCCCCTTGTCGGGTAGAAAACTATAATTTGTCGGTGAGAAAAAAAAAACATTTATGTATTTTTTTACACATTAATTGACTCCAAAATCGATAAAATAAGCTTTTGAACACCCTAAAATTGTCATATTTTGGGGTTCCCCCCCCCCCACCGGGACAAATTTAGCGACGCCCGACTACGCCTACTTTTTTATCGTCGGGGACATCAGCCCGCCCCTCTCCTTCATCGGGGAACTTGGACTCCCCCGTCGGGGGAAATCCTGGCACCGCCACTGGAACGGAGTTTCCATGGTCTTTAGTAACTTTGGTCTCCTAGAATAATAAATATAAAATGCATTTGGTTAAATTGGGACCATTACAAAGAGAAGGACTCTTCTTGTCAAAATTACACCATTATGAAAAACTCATCAAGAAGATGCAAGAAAGCTGAATTAAACTTAAACGTTCTTCAACTGACATACCTCCTTTCAAATGAGCTGCAAGATCACTGATTTTGCCAAGTTGATCGAGTAAGTAGACGTTGTTATCGGAAGCTATACTTGTCAATTCGTCTTGGTTAATGCCTTGACCAAGTCCGATGGAAAAGATAGTTATTCCGTCTCTTTTCATTTCATTTGCCTTGGGGATGGGATCACCTCCATTCGATTGGCCATCAGTGAGAAGAATTACCAGCCTAGCCGGAAAAGAACGGGTAAAATTAGTTTACATTAATATTACAAAATAAATTTATTAACAAAAAAAATTTCTTTCATGGAGAATCCAGAAGGTCCTAATGTTCTAAACATAATTAAACACATCTTTGGCAAAACTCCATTTGACTTTTGGTTTTTTTTTAAATGACAAACTGATTCATCATGGATGGAGAATGGTAAACATTCATACACTTAAATAATTAAAATTTCACATTCAACAGCAAGAAAATTATTACAGTACGGAATGATAAAATTATATTGAAAATTTGTTTAAATTTTGTGTAATGTTCAATTAAATAATATGAGATCCGGCTTTATTTTTCACACCGATCTATGCATATCGTATTTACGGGAGTTACGAAGAACTTTACACTTTCCATCACGTATACATATTTCATCACACCAATGACATTAAAGACCAAAATTGTTGAAGTTTGTACCATCTGTATATTCATAACATTTTTTATCTTTCTCATTTGTGTAATTGTATAAGCGCTATACAATTTGGCATTTGACAGTTAGTTACAAACTTCGATAGTTACAAATTAATTTGTTATGATCAATTGGTGATATGTAGACGTATAAAGAATTATTCATGCTTTAAAAAACGAAATATCTAAAAAAAAACAAAACAAAAAAAAAACAAAAACAAAAAAAACCAAACGTTTTCAAGTTTTCAGTCAATCATAAAGTAAAGTATAGCATTGTAAACCTAATAATTATGTCAATCGCCAAACATTTATTTTCACAAGGTCCTGCGTAATTTATGCATTTTGTATGCAGCAATTGCTAACTTACCTCGGCGCATCATTTCTACCGTTTTTAAGTAAAGTTTCGGCCTGTGTTAAGGCACCAAGTGTGTATGTATCACCACCAGTGTATGGCAGCGCGTCGTCGAGTTGTCCAAGAAGAGTACATTTATTTTTGTCTGTCGGTTCAGTGATGTGATCTATTCGCGTGTATATTTGACCCGCCGATGAGTACGACACGATAGCGACACGCGATGTGTCAGATGAAACGGTAAAAATAGTGGACACTTGGCGAACAAAGTCCACTTCTCGTGGCCATCTTTCTGCCCCTATGCTACCAGAGCTATCCAACAAGAATACAATATCACTCGGAGTATTTTGAAATTCTTCAAGATTGCCTAAAAAACGTAGCGCGTTCGCCTCTACTTGTTCGTTTTGTGATCTAACCTCTGCGAGAAAGATCGCCGTAAACAACGTAAGTAGAAAGCAGCACTTGGGACTTAAAGACTGCATAACTGAAGTTGGAACGCTGCTAGGTTAAACTGGCTTTCGTCAAAAATTCCAACTACTTTATATACTTCCTTCAACTATAAGTGGTACCTTAAATATCATTTTAACAGCTATTGCTGAGCTTCCGCCTATCCCGGAACAAAGGCTTGGTGGTAGGCCTATGCGCAAGTGTATCTAAGCAGAATAAAAAAAGTGTGCTTATTTAGGGAGGTGCAAAAAATTGTGTTAATTTATGGCACACAAGCTTCTCAGGGGTTTTAAGGGATGCTGTAGTTTCAAATCTGTCAAGCTAAAAAATGAGGAAAGCCTCAAAATGTAAGATGGTCGCAAATTTGGATGTTTGCCATAGCTTCCACAACATTTCACATAGAAGTTTTTTTAAGTCTATACTATTATTAAAGGGCATACAGTGCCACCACTAAAAGTCAAATTCAGCCACTATCAGTTGCAGAAATCTAATATCGCTTCCAAATGGCTGCTAATTTCTTTTTAATATTGACCATAACTCCCATAATATGCAACAAGATTACATGCTTTATCTACACGCGCTAATTTTAAACAGATGGTAAAGAACGCTCATATACATAAATATTAACTAATAAATAACATTAATTTAAGCGTGGACATAGTGTCACTACAATAATAGGATTAACATTTTCAATCTTATAATACATTCTATACAGCGGAGTTATGTTTTGACCTAGGATGATGACTAACGACATGTAACTTTCTCTATTAAAAAAGCTTCTTCAAATAGATTGACCTGTTATACGAAGCACGAGCTCCTGCAGACAAAACCCAGTACCGTTTCGGTTTTAATTGTGCGGAAAATGTATTCATAATGATTTCATTTCAATTGATGCTTTTTAAAGAAGCTCTGTGCTACTTCGCCATGCAAGAACATATAACCATAATGTGCCTATTTTGTGAATACTTACCTAAATAAACTTAAATGAAAGAAGGAAAATTGAGGCCTATTACTAACATTTTTGCATTACATACACCTGGGTTGGACGATTCCGTTATTTTCGAGGTAAGTCCACCAAGTTCGATGGAAAGATAGTTATCCCGTTTGCCTTCGTATCTCTCTCAGTAACATTTATTTCGTAATGGTCATACGAAAACATACATATGAAAATTTATTATATTCTTAAAATAACAAAATTTGATTATATCAGACTTGCAGGTGGAAAAATGTGAAATTAGACCATCACAGGGATCAAAACTAGAAGTAGAACTTGTCTCCTATTGACCCCTAAAGTCGAATTTAAATAATAGTATTATAGCTGTCTCTTATACACATCTAGATGTGTATAAGAGACAGTATATAGACAGTATAAGAGAGCCACTTGATAGTGCTTTCACTTTTGGCAATGCTCAGGTAATCAACATATGTATTATCTTTCACCTGGATATTTAAAAAGTTAAATTAAAAAAAAAAATGAAACAGCCACAAACACAAAACAAAAATGCAGGTGAGGACGACATTTGTTATAACAAGCTTAGAATATATAAATAACCATGTTAGGAAGCTTATTGCAACGATGACCCGGATTAAGGCTTGTTCAGGATGCATCCGCTGATCAAAGCTTTGAGAAGGCAATATGATACTAGGGAACCAGGAATTGATTTTAGGGTTTTTCCTTCAAAAATTCTGAAGGCCTATATAAGTACCATCGGATGTATAAAACACTTTATATAATCATTGCCACTCTTTTGGTGAACCTGGCTGTCATTGTGGCATGATAACGTACTGTAATGAACGAGGAAATATTTCAAGTATTTGTCCTTATTTCCTTATTTTTTTTAAAAACAATATTCCATTTCGTAGCTTGAACTGCGCATGCCCATATCCACGGTCTAGTTGATTGACCTTGATACGGGCACAAGCAGTTCAAACTACGAATTTACTTATTGAATGAAATTACAGGTGATATGTTTAAGTAGGTGTGACGCAGTGATCTACAAGGACGTGCACGCTCAGTGCAGATTCAGGGCTGGTGAAATGTTGGGAGTTGGCCCCACTTTGGCGTCAGCCAAAAAGTATGAAATCTTTTATTAATATCAAAACTCAAGGCTTTTAAGAGGCTATGCCCTCTTGGCCACAGTATCGAAAGACCCCCAACCTACCCCTAAGACCATAGGTTCCCTCCCCTGGTTAAAGGTCCTAGTACGTCTCCCTCCAATAAAAGACCACTGTTGGCACTGAGTTTTGGTGGCCTTTAGCAGCTTTAGTCTTCAATTAGAATCCCTCTAGTAAAGACTAGATCTGTGTCTAGTACTAGTAGAATTGTTCCTTCTCCGATAATTATCCGAATTTTCGCTACTCAATTCAATTAAATTTTAATACAAATAACATACATTATTATGCCCTAGTTCATTACAATTATATTACTGTAAACTTCACTCATTCTATCTTCACTGTGAACACTTTTTTAATATTTTAGCAAAGATTGGTCATGCATTTAATCAAATGTATTTTTGTATAGTTTCGATTCTAACAGCCCACAAAAATAAATATAGGCTTTCTGGGAATATAGAGGAGAATAAGTGAAGAACACTGAGGAATATTTCACCTTGCCACATAATTGCATGTAAATCACACGACGAATATATCAATAAATAAAAGCTATGGGCCCAATCCCATCTTACAAAACCACATTTCAATATAAATTCTGGCGACGTTTGCTCATTTGACTTAATAATATATCTATATAAAATAAAATATATTTTACGTATAAAATACAACCAGGCCTATATGGTCTTAAAAAAGTATGATAACTGTTAATGTTTTGGTTGTTTTAATTTAATACAAATTACAAAACGGGATATAAATGACAAAACTATATTTTAAAAAAACAACATAAAAATGTTGCCCGTGAACTCTCATTTTCCTTTTGTTCGTTCACAAATGCTGGATTGTTGAGGAAAATTACAATTATAAATGGAACGAGAAAAATTCATTGGATCACCATCGAGCCTCATAATTAAGTTTAACCACAATCAAACAACAGACACATAATAATTTTCTCTTTAGTTAATCTGTTTTACTTTAAAAAAATGATATGTACCCATATTTGGGAGTGGGGGTGAGGCGAAAGTTGCGCCGATCGAGAAAACACTACCTTGGAGGTCCGGGGCATTCCCCGTGAAATATGTGTTTTCTATACGCTCCAAATAACCTCTGAGGTGTTTTGGGGTATCAATTATTTCTTTTTCTTTCTTTATTTCTTTTTTTTTTCTTTCCATATATGGGGAAGGGGCCGCGGCCGGCCCGGAGCCCTCTAAGTAGTAAATCCACCATTGAATTAGCGATCAAAAAAATGAAAGCCAATTTTCAAGTGGTGGTACAGCGGAAATTACATAGTTAAATTCCTATTCGTTTACACACAAACCAGCTACAAAAGGAAGATTTTTGAAATAGTGTTTGTTTGTTCCGACAGAGTGAAGTTCTAATCATTCGGTTTTTAATGTAATGAAGCACAAAACACTGAGGAATATTTCACCTTGCCACAAAAGGAAAATTTTTTAAATAGTGTTTGTATGTTCCGACCGACAATAGTGATAGGCCTAATTAATTATTATTCTTATGTGAAGCATAGAGAAAATAGTCTCTATGTGTGAAGTTACTCAAATTTACGTAAGTCTGTGCAATCTTCAAATGTTACCCACTTTTCTCAGTTAAAAGTTTTGTACATAGGTAATCTTCATCAGAAAAAGTTTACAAGGTTACTTCATATCATAAACACTACATTCCAATACCTATGGCTAACAAACGACTGGAAAAAATAACACTTGGTTTTAGCAGATTCGTATTTTTTTTTTTTTTTTTTTTTTGTATTCGTATTTTTTTTTTTTTTTTTTATAAGGTCGTGACATTTTTCATCATGGTTTCTCAAAAGATATCTTCATATCGATGTTTAAGTAAAAGTAAATAAAGAGAAAACCTACAGCTGGAGCTCAAGAATAAAAAAAAAAACATTCAAAAGTGGTTTACAATTACGCATTAACAACTAATGCGATGCACGACATTATTGTGACATAAACTTGATATCCTTTTGTTTATAAGAAAGTATATTGACCTGCACTTTACTTATACATAGGCCATAACAAATTCAAATTACTAGCTGAAGCAATTGTGTCGCTTTATTGTTTGGTTAAATGTCAGGTTTGTTTACAAATTAATGTGTATGTGGGCCTAAAGTTGGTAATAGGGAAGAAAATATACCTTATATTGTAGGCTTACAGTGATTGCGTCTGCCGTATTGTAATTGAAGGACCATGTGAAAGTGGACCAAGAGGTAAGAAAATATAGCTTGATACATTTAGAACACACGGCAGCGTAATCGAATCGGCCAAACCAACAGGTATAGCACGGCCCAAAGATTCTTAAGGCCAACTCAGACAGCGTCGCACGACGCAGCCGACGCGATTAATCGTCGGGAAATTTTAAACATGTTTAATATTCTACGACGCGACTGCCCCCGACGCAAACCATCCTCTGATTGAGCTCTAGCGTTGCTCTTTCTTCCGGGTGTGTAGGTCTTTTAATATAAGCAAAATGATCCAACTGGACGTCTAATTCAATCAAACACGAACATGACAATGTTCTATACCGGTAGGCCTAATCATAAGAATATATTGCGGAACGTTATTGACAATCATCCAATGTTTAAGCACGATAAGAAAATAAACTACAAAAATACACGTAGATTGATTGGAACTACCTTGAATATACATAGGCCCTATTATAATATATCAAATAACATAATGTGACGAAAATTTACATGCATCTATTTTTGCTATGGCAGGGCAACATTCATTCTTTCATAAATATATCAACAGCGCCCTCAAGGAAATCAATAACGCTATTATTTCAATTCGAATTTATTCAATTTATTCAGAAGACTTCCGGAATGGAGAATTAAAATAGTTCAATTACTTTTATATTATTATATTTATTACCTTTCAAACACAAATATGATAATAATTATAATATTCAAACTAAATTTAAATAATAGTATTATAGTTGATCTTCATAACATGCTGATTTCTCTTGTTGTTTTGGTTAGTTGACTAAACAACCTGTCTTAATTTTTTAGACATTTCGACAGATATGGTATAATATGTTAGCACCATCCTATCTTACATTTACTGTTTCCACTTAACTTGTGTACTTTTGCAGACTAGAATATTTTATGAAGAAAACAAACGATATATTTGCTCTTAATCTGAACATACAACCATATGATATCGAGATATATCACAGAAACTGATTTTTTTCTAAACAGTAACTTTATAAAGAAACGCTACACAGAAACTGAGTTTTTTTTTAGAACAGCCAGTGCATACAGAAACGCTACTTGTAGCGCAGAAGCGTTTATAAAAATAGTTTGTGTCCTTGGTCAATGTGACATAATGTAAGCCTAAATAAACATGATATTCTTGCGACGGGATGTGATGTTATGCATATGTTTCAAATTACTGAAGTTGCTTACAGAACATGGTTCACGATCGTTAAAGCGAGAAAAGAATTAAAATTACAATAGGCCAAAATGATAAAAATAATACTATTCCGTGATTGCGCTTGTATACTTTAATTGTATAAACATCGAGTATACTGTAGTATGCAGATATATACTTTTCAGCTACTCCAGTTAAGTTCTCAATGTAATCCTTTTTGTGTACTATAATGGCGACGAGCGGCCCAAAAACAGATGCAGTCTGTTTATTTATACAGTATCTTTAGTTAGAGTAGACATGTTCCTATACGGCAACACTCTGTTCTACTAAGCCAATACAAGACATCCACTTTAACTTTTCAAACAATGAAATGACTGTGGTAGCAGATGTGATTACTGCGCTTTCTACACTATCGTTTCATTTGTTATGAAAAATTAGACATTACTCTAACAGGGACGTAGCCAGGATTTTGAAAGGGGGGGGGGGAGCCGTTAATGCGAATTACCTATGACCCCGGCGGGGTCCCGGGGGCGAATTCCCCTGTGAAGTAGCGCAATCTGAACGTTCTTAGGACTGTTTTGAGAGGATAAAGTGAAAATTGCAATATAAATTGTATTATAAACAAGTGCAACAATAATTATATAATAAATCAACAACCTGATCCAGGAATTCGAAAGAGAGGTGAACCAGGGAGGGACTTTCACTGACCGAGGAACCACCCACCTCAGCCCCACCGTGGTTAGGATTAGGGCATCTCTAGATGGCCGGAAATTACACTCTCACACTTAAATTTGAAT